AAATTTTTCAATAAAGGAAAATCTTCTGTTATTACATGTAATAAATTAAAATAATCTGTCCAACCAAAATGTATACTTATGTTATTAATTAACCCATTAATTATAAATGACACTTATGTTATTAAAAAAAATAACAATTTGAAAGGTAAGATTGACACTTTATGCTGTGTTTTTCTCTTTTGTCCAAATTGTAAATAAATTTTATTAAAAAGAATCACATTAAAGTAAAATAACTTCATCCGTGTGTTCAGTATTTAGTTTTTGTTTGAAAAACATCAAACAATAACTTGGATGAATAAAAGTTTATTCACTCTAACTTTAAACCAAATTACGATTTGGAGACATTAGTGAGGATAAAGGAAAGTGTTTAAGATTTCCCCAAACATGCATTTCCAAAAAAGCGTGGTTGAAAGAGAATGTGGACACATTAGTCAGAATTCAACTTAAAAAGGAGAAGCAATATAAAGGACTGAAAATTCTATATGTCGCGATTAATATATATAGTCTCTATCATAATATAATATAGTTGATACTACATTATGATATTCGACTACAAAAGCAATAGTAACCACTACTGTTACCAGTGTTGCAATTAGCAATATTAAAAAACTGGTGTATTAGTGTGTGCATATCTACAAGCACAAAAGTAATACCGTATGTCTCTATCATATGAATAAATAATGAAATTTATTAATAAATGTTTTTAAGTTATTTATCTAAATATATCATATAAATAACTAGAGGTATCTCCCCCTTCTCTTTTCAATCAGCAGCTGAGATATATAAATTTGAACTTGAATTAAGATTAAAAAAAATAGTTATATTACACTCTGTCAAGGCAATATGATTTCTAGAAATTTCAATGAACGCAGCAATTTGCATGGACTTCATTATAAAAGCAGCTTTTCATGATATGTTTTCATTGTTTAATTAGTTGTTTTATTTGCATGAATGTGATGGCATTAAATGATAATTGCCTAGTCCCTTCTATTATGAATGGTCCCGAGAATGAATTACTTTAATTTGGCTCTACAGTTTTTGTTCATTGAAAATTAATATTATAGGTAACATCATACATAATTATACTTATTTTGTATTTATATATACATATTCTAAATATGCGTAAAAAATAAAAAATAATAGTCCCCAGAAATTAAATCAACAAACATTTTCCTTCGACCTTACTATCATATAAACGAATACTCCTTTCCCACCATTGTCCATTTTACGGTTCTAACCGTGATGATATTCGAACAACCATTGAAATCTTTCATAGAAATTTTTTACATAAATATTATAGAGATCAATCTGTGATAAAATTACCCATTTTCAAAATAAATGACTTGGATAAATTTAGGTCCCTTGGCCTCCTAAAGTACGACGAACACTGCGTTCAATAACAATATAGTCGATTAAAAAAAAATTAACAATATATATGGCTTGTTACTGTTAGTGGGGCAACAATTTTAAGGGCAATTACTCTAACCATAGTTATTGTCTAACAAATCTTTATTGATTATTTGAGTAATGAGCATGTCTTAATATATATGTGATGCTCATTTTCCACAAATACAATATCAAGTATTGAGGTAAGAAATTGCATTGTTTACTTGTATCTCTTTAGAGAATTTGGTTGGTAACTTGGTATAGGCTTGATAGGGTTGTAGTACAAGACATGCATAACGAAGGCAAGACCCGTATTAAATTGCACTCATTTTATTGTGACATTAAATGATAGGTTCTTTGCCCATTAAAAAAAAGTTGCTTTGTTCTTCTACATTTAAGTGTGAAAATGTTATGCTTAACAGGGGTGTATTGATTAAAACATTTCACCAGATCAAAATTATAATTTTTTGTGAGAAAATAACTAATTAACAACTATTAAGTAAAACGAAGATTAACAATTATTAAAATTTCATTTAATATATCTTCGACTATACTGACAAGAAGCATAACATAGTAAAAAAATTTAATTTAATTTGTAATTCAAATGCAAAGTTTATTCCAACTCGAGAAAATTTTTCACATGGTAAAATTTGAATATAAAATCTCTTATTGAATAATTTGATTACGCATATAAATGCAATAGATACCCTTTCTATTTATTCCAATAAAATTATATATATTAAAATTAATTTTAATAGTTGATAAGCTTTATATTTACAAAAAAGAATCTTATAAAATTTATTTCAAAAAATCTTAAGAATTAGTATTAAATTAAACATTTTGTACTGCAGTGTTAATTAGATTAAAAATAATAAAAAGTCGTTAAATTATATTTTTAAAATTTAATAGAGAAGATGTTATTGTAAACAAAATTAATGAAGCATAATATAGTTTTACTTTTAAGAAAATTTTATTTCATCACATGTATAATATATAATATTTTTATTAAAAACAAACAAACACATGTCACATATATATTTTTATATGATTTTACTCGATTAACATTCAAAAAATAGTTACTTACTGTCGAGAACATGAATCAACTGATAAAGATTATTCTATCTTAATTTTAATATGCAATCTTAAGTTTAAGTTTCATTGAATGCAGTTATATTAAACATTTAGATCAAATTTTTTACTGTTTATAGTAATCTTACTCAACTTAAACATAGTTAATTTTAATAAATAATATTTATGATTTAGATAAAAAAATATATAATTACTTAAAATACTTTTTATTAAGAATTATATGAGTGTGATTAAAGATAATAAAATTTATAAATATTATATTATAGTAAAAATTTATTAATTATTTAAGAAATATTGCAATTTTTAAAATTATATATCACGAATAAACTTTTTATTGTTTCATCATATAATTTGTAAAATTTTAAATAAATGTTGTGAAAAATGACTGAAATCCAATGAATCAAATTTATATATTTAATAAAATTTAAAATAAATAATATATTTTACTTATCTAGTAATCATTTTAATGTATCATATATATGTTATTAAATTTTTAATTTACTTTTTAACCTTTGAAATATTAAATTATTATTACCATATAAATAAATGTTATTATTTGTTGATAAAAATAAATTGAAATAAAATATTAATAATTAAAATATAAAAACTTTAAATAATAAACTATATCATTACTTCTATACTAGTTATTGAGTAAATTTTATAAATTAATACACATGTTTGTTATCTATTTTTCCCCATAAAGAGAATGTTCCTTCAAATATAGAGATACATTAGAATTTATATTAAAAAATTATAGAGTATATTTTCTTCAATATTTTTAACCATCAGTTAAAGTTTTATATATTAAAAAAATTATCTTAAAAAGTATAATTTTGTTCTATGAAAATGCCACTTCTTTTTGGATTCGTTCAATTTAATATTTTCTTTGTTTTTAGCCTGTTGAAAAATATAAATATCGTTTATTTAGTGCTAAAAAATAATTCGGTGGGAAATTAAAAATGCACTCTATTCTTTATTTCTAGTAAATATGAAAGTGAAACATTAAAAAAATGATTAAAAAATACATTATATTTTCAGTATCTAAAATATATTTCAACTCTTAAAATTTGTTATATTAATATTTTATATTTAATAATTCTGTATGATAAATTATATTAATAAAATAATTCAAATAGAAAAAAAAAATTCAACAATCAAATAGGTCAAAATAAATCAAGATGAACATGAATACGTAATTCAGGTAATTAGTGCTAGTAACTTAACAAGAAAAGTAGTGATTTTCAAAATCAAATGACGACCATCTATTTTCACTAAAACGACTCACTTTCTGAGATGACTTTCGTGCCACATCGTGATCAATCATACATCACGAGGTCAGAGGTTTAATTACACCGAAAACAACTTTTACTTTAAGAAAGCAAATAATTAGATACTAATTCAAGTACAGAAAAGCAAGACTTTTAGAAATTATGTAACATTTCATCAGTCTAATTTTACTTTTTATTAAAGAAATTTTTTAAAATTTATGTATTATTAAAGATGTACTTAGTTAATGTTAAATTAACTATTGATAGGTGAAAGTTTTGGTTTTTGTCTCAAATAGAATAAAATAGTAGTGATAATAAAACTTTCTTTTGAATATTTAACATACGTTAAGATTTAAATTTGATAAATAGAAATAACTTTACCGATTCATCAATGTGTTTAATAATAAAGGATAAAATTTATTTTGAATTTTTTTTGCTATCCATAATTAGATTAAATAAATTATTAATAATTATAAATCTGTCTTCAACAAATAATTTTAAGTATGTCATATTTAAAATAATATTTAACCACAGTAAATAAATGATTGTTAATAATCAAACTCAATCTTTGTATCCACACAATTCGATTGCAATATTTGAGCGAACACTTTTAGGTGTAAACACGCAAAGGTAAATATATGAATAATACTGTTGATATGCAAAATTACTTGCTAGTGGGTATTAATATAGTTTGAATATGCCTTCTGTCTTTAAATATTAAAAAATATTTTTTAATTCAATTTTATATAGATTGAGCAACCTATCTTGTTTTGACACTTCTAAATATAATATCAACCTCCGAAATTACAGTATTATAAAAGAGATGGTTTTGCTTGTACCAAAATAATACCAGGATTTCTTTGCCATTGCTATGTGAGTGCTTCCTCGACTATTGCCATTTTAATACGGCATGGATTTGTCGTTATTTGAAGTTCGTAATGCTTGAAAGATGGGAGATTAGAGAAATTCTTGCATACAAAATCAAATTAATATTTTTCATATATTAGTCTTCTAAAATTTTAACTGCAGCTCACAATCGGCATCAGTAAATTGACATTAATCTTTTAAAATTAAGGTGAATATAAGCTATATACATGAGTTACTAGAGATATATATTGATTTTAAAAATATTTTTTTAAACATTTTAAGTGTTAATTTGAGTGGTTACCTTAAGTTTCTTCTTGAGAAATTCCTAGCCACTATTCCCACTAACATAGCTGGCGTTCTAGCCTCTCTCTATATATACGTACATGACAAGGCAATTGCAGTTTGTGGACGATTGTGATCTCTTCAGTCCTAAGGAGGAAGTAAGCAAAGTATACAATCCATAAACAGACGTGGTCCTTTGTCTCCGATCAATCATTGGATCTCATAAGGGATACCCTCAGAACTCACAAGAGAAAAAGAGAGAGCTACATACATATATATAGCTAACTAGATCATTAGTTTCTTAGTTTCTTTTGGCACGTATATAATATATATAACATGGGGAGGCCACCTTGCTGTGACAAAATTGGTATTAAGAAGGGTCCTTGGACTCCCGAGGAAGACATCATCTTGGTGTCTTATATTCAAGAACACGGACCAGGCAATTGGAGATCAGTTCCAACCAATACAGGTAATTAATATTTCTAATTAAATAATTTTAATTTGTCTTTATTAATTTATTCAATTTTCATCATTATAACTTTTTCAAGCTTTAATCACACACTGATTTCGTATATACATTTTTCTTTTGTTCTTCAAGGTTTGATGAGATGCAGTAAGAGCTGCAGGCTTAGATGGACTAATTATCTTCGACCGGGGATCAAACGAGGTAATTTCACCGATCATGAGGAGAAGATGATAATCCACCTCCAAGCTCTTTTGGGGAACAGGTACTAGCTAATAACTCTCATCTTCCCACCTACTTGTTTGATTTTCAGCAATTAATATTTGCCATTTTTAATCAAGCGAGAATAGTAATCTAGTTAATTACAAGATTAATTTCTGAGTCCCAACAAGAAGTAAATGGTCACATGAAATGAAGAAAAAAAACACTGAAGAATAACTAAAGATCGATAGAGGTTAATTTGGATCTGCTCTTTTAATTAATTTGCTAATTTTTTGTTTCCTTATATTCTGGAATGAGTTCATTATATATTATATATAATGGCTGCAGATGGGCTGCTATAGCCTCCTATCTTCCACAGAGGACAGACAATGACATAAAGAATTATTGGAACACCCATTTGAAGAAGAAGCTGAACAAAAATGATCAAAGTGGGACTGAAGAAGGTGTTGACCAAGAAGGGCATTCACATTCTTGTTCACAGGGAAAGGGTCAATGGGAAAGAAGACTACAAACAGATATCCAAATGGCAAAACAAGCTTTGTCTGAGGCTTTGTCCCTTCACAAGCCACCAAATCATCATGTTTTGCCTGATACTACCAACCCCTTAAGTTCTCATCATGACACAAGACCACACCATGCATCCCCATATGCATCAAGCTACGAAAACATTTCTCGATTGATGGAAAACTGGATGAAATCCCCAAACTCAACTGATCAAACAAATTCTTCAGGATATTCCCTCAGCAATAACATGGTCACTACAGGATCTAGTTCTAGTGAAGGAGCACAAAGCAGCACCACATGTACCCAAGATCTTGCTTTTGACTCCTTGTTGACCCTCAACTCCTCCAAACTTGATGCCTCTCGATCTGAGCCCCAGGTTCCTCTTACGCTGTTGGAGAATTGGCTTTTTGATGATGGAACTGCTCAATGTCATGAAGATCTAATGAACATGTCATTGGAGGAAGGTAGCGCAGGTTTGTTTTAGAAAGCAGCTTATTATTTACCTTGTTAGGCACTAAGGTTTGTTTTAGGAACTAAGGTCCTTTGTTATGGCTTGGGTAAGTCCTCTTAAACGTCTTGCAAATGCAACTTTATCTAGTTCGATCGAGAAGATAACTTCCTCTCACTCTACGAATTGTACATTACAAGTACATCTGTATCCTTAATTGTGCTATGTACTATCCATTAATAAGAGTTCAATGTATGTGTATTTCGGACAGTAATTTACGGTTTCGAATTTAAGGATTGCAATTTATCTAGGGTTGCGTTGAAGTTTATCGAATTTGATTCCAACAGATCAAGGTAGACTAACATTTTATTGAAATATAATCCAGCTTCATTGAAATCTCAAAAATATCCAACGAAGTTGGATTCTGGAAAGCACAATCTAACCCATGTCATAGTATTGTGTACTAGGGCAACGATGGATGGATGAATAAATATAGAATTTATCTAAAATATATACATAATATAGCTAAATGCATACTAACACATGATATTGGGTTATTGATAAAGTTTTCATTTAGTCGAAGTTAATTCGTTTATCCCACAAGCCAAATGATATTGTTCATATCTTATGATAAACGTTTAGACTGGTGTGTTTTTAGCACATTCGGTACTGCGTTCTTGGCGAGACCTGTTATAATGTTAGATTTTAAGATGGCCTGATTGTAACCATTTTTAAATATAAATTGTTTTAAACAAAAATATTTACTATATTAAAAATACTATATTTCAGAAAAAATAAAAATTAATGTTAAAAAATTAAGTTAACATTTTCCAATTAAAATAACCATAATTACATGAGTTTTATCTCCCGTTATTCTGTTATATGTACTAAAGAGTTAAAGAAAACAATATATATATATATTGGCAAAAATATTCTCATCGTATAACCTGATATTAAAAGTTTCAATGAATTATAGTATTTTTTATTTTGATATTTTCAAACTTTTTTTTTAAAAGAATAATTGTTACAGTTTACTTAATTACTTTTATTGTTTTTGCTATTTAGTTTCATTTATTAACAATAATCTCTTTTATTTTTTATATATGTCAAGTAAATATTTAAAAATATGAGAAAGAACTATAAGGGAAAGTTATCTCAAGCAAATAATTTCCTTTTCCTAATAATAATGATTTTTTCAACTATCTCTACACATATCTTTGAAGGGTTACAATAGTTTGATCAATATTTGTTTGGTACCATGAGATCGAGGACCCTTGTACTTTGTTCTGAATAAATTTTAAACTTTGCTGATAAAAAATTCTAATTTTTACACTTTTTAAATTTTTTTCTCTCTTTTTTCCAATGACAATATTAATTTATTTTGTTATATATATACGTCTCAAAGAAAAGTTAAAAAAAAGAATCTTCTAAGAGTTAAAAAACACGAGAAAAAAAATTAAATAAGTTTCTCTCTTTTTTATCATACAAATATTTTTAAATTTAAATAAAATCTATAAATAAAAAATTAAAAATAATAAATGTTTTTATTGGTAATAATAAATGTTTTGTTAACATTAAATTGGACTAGGTCGACATAAAGATAAAGTTCTAAAAAAAGTAAAGACATCAGAGACTTTTCAAATGAAGAAAAAATATAAAAATAATTTATCAGAACTAAATTTACGAAGAAAAATACTATGATGTGTCAAAATTTAACTTTAATAAGATTAGTTAAAATTAAAGTATTTTTAAAATTTAGTTAATTTATATAATAATAGGATCAAATTTAGAACAAATTAAATTAATTTAAATAAAAAAACTATATAAAAGAAATAAAAATATATAATTAAAATAAAATCAAATAATCGATACAAACGACTTAGAAAATACGAAGACAGAAATTAAAAACATAGAAATGGATTTAAAAATATCTGCAAAACATTATTCTTGTCAAGAAGTTCCTTTCAATCTTACTATTATGAGGTTTGTTTTCAAAATGTTTCTTTCAATCTTACTGTTACAGGTAGCGTATTAAAGGATGAGTTGGTAAACAAATCTTGAAATCACAGTTGCCACCAGTCATACTAATCCCACATACGTCATTATCCCTCTCTTACTTCCTCAGACTACGCTCTTCCTCTTTCCACAATTCTTAACAAAAACAAAACCTATCATCGTCTCTTATCACTCCCAAATCAACCCCACAACCGACAACCTACGATCCATCTACTTGAGTTTACGTTCGCGGTGCATGTTCCCGTTGTAAACATGCATTCGCCGCCAAGTTCTGCGGAGGTTTTAGATTTTTCGAGTGTAGCAATTATGGATTCTCTTGTTCATGAAAAGGTACACTCTCAGTAGAGAAAAAATCCTTTTTTTCTTTTTTTCTTTTTTGGTCTAAATTATTTATGTCTTTGGTACAAAATAATCTTGAATTGCAAGGTGGAATTTTTAAAATAAAATATATATACCATTTAAAGCAAATTTTTATGGTGTGTTCTCTTTTCTACAACAAGTATGGTATCATCAAATGCAAATAGTGAAATGTATTTCAATAACAGTAGTTGTCATTTTTTAATCAAAAATAGGAAAAGCAATTTTGTTCACCAGTCGAGTGGTGCTATGTGATAATTGTAGAAGTGGAAACATATAAGCGCGTGCAATTTGTTTATGTCCATTTCAGGAGATATAGTTACACCTATGATCATGCAAACTATTATACCCTTTTCCTATAAACGTTTAATTGGCATGGAATAATTTCAGTAAAAAATGTGGACAAATTTAATCGTATGCAACACTCGGTTGGTCGGAAAGCACGCAAGTATTCTGTTTGAATTCATTAGGCTGATAAAGTTAAAGAAAAGGACAGAATTGACGAAATCAGGTTACTTTGTTCCTAATCATTCAAATTTTTTGCAGTGATGATTAATTTTTCAAATAACATTTCTGTAAATTTACTTATTATATTATTACTTAGTATGTACATATCATGTGATTGAAATCCTCATATTCTGTGTTTTTCTTTTTTGTTTAAGTAAATTATTTTTCACTCAAATAAAAATACAAAAATAGCAGCATATAAGGGTCATATTCGCGCAAAAAAAAAAAAAAAAAAGATCCCGATCTCTAATTTTCATACCGACATAACTGAAATTGCGGCTTCTACAGTTGTACTGTGTGTGTTTGGCTTTTGTGGTCCAACAATAGTTCATACGCAGGCTTTGTTCAGTTCCCCCGAAGATACGTGTAAAGTAATAAATGGAGCATATATACCCATCAATTTAAATTTAAATATAATCTTTAAATTGATATTATATTTAAATTTAAATTAATAAATATATATTTTTATTTAAAATATCTTAATTAAATCTTAGTAGTAAGTTATTACTATTTCTATTATATTTTTACTTTTTATTTTTTAAATTTATTATTCACACAATTAAATTTTAATATATTAATTTTATTATTATTTTGTTCTCTTTATTTTTACAGTGATTTTTTTATATTTTTATTATTAATAGTTAATAATATATTTTACTATAAAAATTAATTAATTAAATAAATAATACTTTAAAATTAAAAATAAATTATAAATTACATTCAAATTATTATCTAAATTAATAATATTATCTTTATTAATAAGATATATTAAAATCAAATATATCTAATTTTAATATTATATGTTATTTTTAGTTATTAAATATAAATCAATCAACTACACAACTAAATTGTTAAATAATTTAATTTCATAAATTACTTATATAATTATAAGCTTTTAACTATAAATTTATAATTTTCAATTAATTTTACAGTTGTAAATTATAAATTTTTTAACGTAACTTTTAACTCATTTTATCAAATATAGTCATAATCGTTGAGTTACTTTGATGATTCAATCCAAATTTAATAACATTCAATCAACTAAAAATTATTTTGAGATTTGATTTATTACTAGCCAGTGAACTTCCTTCATGAAATAAATAAAATAAATTTAAAGTGAAAATTAAGCTAATTATTTAAAAGGGTTAAAGTTGAACTATATACAATTCGATTCATTTAGTTTTGAACTAGCATGCAAGCATATATACATAATATTGTGAAACCTTTTGGTTTTTTGCGATTCAAGTTTGCAATCTAAACCAAATAATTCGTATATAGCTCATAAGCAATCCTTTTACTTTTGTTCTACGAAGTTCAATCTTAATTATAAACTGAAGTAAAAAGTTCTTCAAGTTAAACCAAATCAAACATAAATTGGAAAAACCGATTCACATCACACTTAAATAAAGTTTGAAACAAATCAATTATTATCAAGTCATATCAAGTTAAGGTTCGACTCAACTTATTTCTAACTCTAATCATGATATCATCTATAAGAGATTTTATTTCACTGATAATAAAAATATAAAAATAAATCTCTTTGAATCTTATAATTTTAAAAAATATATTTGTTTGATTACTAAAAATTATTTTAATGATAATTTTTAAATATCTCATTATATTATTATTTAATGATAAATTTGAATAAATAATTAAAAAATAAGATATCTTTGATTAGATATTTAATTAAAGTTAAAAACATATTAATTTGATTTAATTTAAAAGTTCATAGAATATGTATCATAATATGAAAAACAAAATTGAAAGTGTATATAAAATTTATTTTATTTCAAAAGATAAATAAATAAACCTGTTACCAACATGTTCAGATCCTATGAAATTATTTTTCAACAGTAATTTTTTTTTATAGAAAAATACAAGTAATTATGTCCGTCAAAGTCGTAGAAACCAAACTACAGAGTTTAATTGACTTTTCAAATAGAATCCGTATTCACTGTCAGCTATTTTTTCAATTTGGGATTTCTTTAAAAATTATTTATCTGATAAATATAAAAATAAAAAGAATATATTGATTTAGGATAATTGTTATTACGTAATAGATTCTTTCTAATACAACTAAATTTAGGTTGCTGTAAATACATTTATTTTAATTTTTAAATAGTGCGGGCTTAATTAACCATTATATACGCATTTTATATTTATAATATGAGTACATCATTAATTTTTAATTAATTTATTTTTTATTGATTGTTATTTTAAATAAATTTCTTTTCTATAGATTACAATATCATTAAAATAATTTTATTTAGAATAATAAATTAAAGAATATATATTTTAGGGTCTTTGTTTTTACTTATTTTTTATTCCATTAGCTTAAGTTTTGCATCTGGTCAAAAGTAAAACTGCATAAATTTTTATATCATGTGACATTGACTATCAAATTGTGCCTAACAAACAG